GGAGTCTTGCTCTGTTGCCAGGCTGGAGTGCAATGGCACAGTCTCGGCTCACTGCAACCTCTTGGGTTCAAGCGATTCTTCCGCCTCAGCCTCCGAGTAGCTGGGACCTCAGGCGCGTGCCAACACGCCCAGCTAATTTTTGTATTTTTAGTAGAGATAGGGTTTCACCATGTTGGCCAGGATGGTCTCGATCTCTTGACCTAGTGATCCGCCCACCTCGGCCTCCCAAAGTGCTGGGATTACAGGTGTGAGCCACTGCACCTGGCCTAAGAATATCTTTAAATGCTCTCAATAACTTGAACTTTCAAAGCTTTGGTTTTTTCTTTATAGTCTAATTATGCAACCTGAGAACACTGTGTGCTGCCCTAGTGGCTGAAGCAGTCTTCTTTTTTGGACTCTAGCCCTTCTTTGTCTTTGGATATTGAGTAACTTGGGGTAGGCCAGAGTACCTTCTGGGAGAAGAAATAAGCAGATAATGTGAAACTATTGCCTGGGTTTTGGAACCACAGAAAGTCATTTGTGAGAGTTGAGCTTGAAGCTGTGCATCATTTACTTGCCACAGTTGTGGGAGAGAAATTGAAATTAGAGCCTTTGCAGCTGTGGAGAAGCATAAAGCTCTAAGTCTGAGGTGATATATATATGGTTTTCCATAAATATCTGAGGCTGGCTTTGAAGGGCCTGGTTGATTAAAAAAGGAATTTTACTTTTTATATTTTATTTTTATTTTTAAAGGAATGGTGGTACTTAGTAAGATTTAGGAATTTTTGCCACCAGCCCACAACAAATGCATTTATTCCTGAGGGACACTTAGAATAAAACATCTACACTCATGGTCTGTGCAGCTGCAGTTCTGCTTCTCTAACCTTGATTGTACTATGTAGCAGATAATTTAGTGACCTGGGAGTTCATGTTGCTGAAACGATTATCCAGGAAGCTTATGAGACAATGTCAATAGCTTGTAGGTCTTACTGATTAATATAGAGCTTGGTGAAATAGATAGTGTTCTCAGGGTAGAACTTGGACTGTTTTTACCAAACCCATTCCCACTTGCGAGTAGAGAAGTTTATTTTGGACTAGTTGAAAAAAATTGGAGGGAGAGGTATATGTTTCAACACCCAAGCTTAAGTTCTGATGGCTTATGTATTCTAGAAATTTATTTTTTGCAGTGGTAGTATATATACCCTACCACAAAAGAGCTTTTGTTTGTTTGTTTTTTGAGATGGAGTCTCACTCTGTCACCCTGGCTCTGTCACCCAGTGATGCAATCTTGGATCACTGTATTCTCCGCCTCCCAGGTTCAAGCATTTCTCCTGCCTCAGCCTCCCAGTTAGCTGAGACTACAGGCACGAGACACCATGCCTGGCTAATTACTGTATTTTTTAGTAGAGATGGGGTTTTGCCATATTGGCCAGGGTGGTCTCAAACTCATGACCTCAAGTGATCCACCTAGGACTACCAAAGTGCTGGGATTAAAGGTGTGAGTCACCACGCCCAGCCTTACAAAGAGCTTTTGGATGAAACTCAGACCTAAATTTTGGCTTCAGCTGATATTTGTACTTGCTACAGAACTTCATGTTGGCAAATGAGGAAGGTAAATCATATTTTTAAGAAGTACTCTGAGTTCATGAGAAAAAGGAAGTATTTCTGCAGGTGGAATTTCTAGAAAGTCACTTCAGTTGAACACTTGGGAAATTCTGCCCTGCGAAAAAGTATAATGTGGCAAGTGTAGTGTTTTTATTTTCTGCTATTCTAGGATTTGTGCTGTCAAAATGGAAATTTGAGACTTTTTCTTCCCTGTATTGTTTTTCACTGAAAATTTGGAATAAATTAATTTGACCCTCAAATCCAGATTGTCTCATAGACATAGGTTTTATTCACTAGTTGCTCCATTGCTCTGTAGTTACCTGATTCTCTAACTGGAGAAAATAGCTGCTTTAGGGGTGAATGTGGGTAGGAGTAATTAAGATTTGTTTTTTGTCTTCCACTTTAAGGCGTATCCAGCAAATTGTCCTTCTGAAAAATTAACAGTTGAAAACATTTTATATGGACCAAATCCTATAAGAATAAATGTCAGTAGATTACCCAAATTACTTAGCTATACTGGAATCTTATTTCATTAAATACTGTTTGAAATAAATGGGGCCTTGGTTAGGATTGAGAAATAATTTTTGTTTTATGGAGATTGTATTAAAATGAGATTTACTTGCAACTGGATTAGGAAAATGGGGCATTGAGGAGGGTAAGGTGAGAGTGGTTATACTTTTAACATAACTCAAATTTACAACAGTAGGTGCCATGCCTTATGGTTTTATGGTACACCAGCTCTTTATTAGTGTATATAGCACTTTATTTTTTTTATTTTTTTTTTATTTTTTTTTTTTTGAGACGGAGTTTCACTCTTGTTACCCAGGCTGGAGTGCAATGGCGCAATCTCGGCTCACCGCAACCTCTGCCTCCTGGGTTCAGGCAATTCTCCTGCCTCAGCCTCCTGAGTAGCTGGGATTACAGGCATGCGCCATCATGCCCAGCTGATTTTTTGTATTTTTAGTAGAGACGGGGTTTCACCATGTTGACCAGGATGGTCTCGATCTCTTGACCTCGTGATCCACCCGCCTCGGCCTCCCAAAGTGCTGGGATTACAGGCGTGAGCCACCACGCCCGGCCAGCACTTTATTTTTTAAACCACAGTGTACATCATATAGATTTAGGAATTCCACACTTAAGTCTTCAACAAGTTTTTTTTTTTGGAGGGGGGGAGAGGATGAAGTAGGAGTTAAGGGGAAGAAGGTAATATAGCTAGTTTTGAAAATGTTAGCCATGGCTGGGAGGCTGAGGTGGTCAGATCACTTGAGGTCAGGAGTTTGAGACCAGCCTGGCCAACATGGTGAAACTCCCATCTCAACTAAAAATACAAAAATTAGCTGGGTGTGGTGGCGGGCACCTGTAATCCCAGCTACTTGGGAGGCTGAGTCACGAGAATCGCTTGGATCCGGTAGGCAGAGGTTGCAGTGAGTTGAGATTATGGCCACTGCACTCCAGCCCCGGCAACAGAGCGAGATTCCAACTCAGGAAAAAAAAAAAATAGGAAATGTTAGCTAGGGTTAGCATTAGCATTAAATTATTAATACCCTTGCAACAACGAAAGAAATAAAGATGGCTTTTTTGGCATTGTTCTGATGAGATGAGACTCAAGTCTCTCCTAAAAGACCTTAAAAATTTTAGGCTTCTGGTTTTAAAATCTGACAAATATTTCTTAAAGGATTTTGACAGCCCAACTTGCAATTTAAAAAATAGATATACATAATATAAGTTTTAAAGGTACAGGAGGTACGTGACAGTCTCCTTGCTTGTCTCTTAAAGGCCACTCTGTTCCCTTCCTAGGAGGCAACTAGTATTACTGTTCTGTATTTCCAGAACTATTCTACAGGATTGTTTTTGGAAAGGGAAAATTGAATTGCACTCATTAAAATAATAGCACCAACTTGGATAGGTATACAAACTGCAATGAGAAATCTGTTTGAGCCATAAGCTAAAGATGTTAATAGTAGATGGAAGAACTATCATAATATAAAAATAGTTGCTATTATGAGATTACAAGAATAGGATGAATATTTTTGCCTTATTTGCTATTTAGCAAGCTGGCAGGTCTTTTTAGTTATTATTTTTAATATGGTTTACTCACTTCTGGAGACTGATGGAGTCTTACCTAAATATTTCATTTGGAAGAAACTTATTTAAAGGAGCAATATTTTCTTTATGCTTGAATTTCAGTAATAACTCTAAAAAGTTTTTTCATTATGGAAAATTTCAAACATATACAGTAGTAGAGAGAACTCCGCCATTGCCTGAAATTCCTGTTCTTTGACCTATAACAAACTCAGTGCTCCTTTGGCGGATAAGGAGAGATTTTATTTTATACACACTTGCATATACCCATCCTGCCATACTTCTAATAAAATGAATGATAATTCTTCAATATCTTTCTTTCTTTTCTTTTCTTTTTGAGACAGAGTCTCGCTCTGTTACCCAGGCTGGAGTGCACTGGTGTGATCTTAGCTCACTGCAACCTCCATGCCTCGAGTTCAAGCAATTCTCCCACCTCAGCCTCCTGGGTAGCTAGGAAAACTGGTGCATGCCACCACTCCCAGCTAATTTTTTGTATTTTAATAGAGACAGTGTTTCACCATGTTGGCCAGGCTTGTCTTGAACTCCTCACCTCAAGTGATCTGCCCACCTCAGCTTCCCAAAGTGCTGGGATTACAGGCATGAGCCACAACGCCCGACCAGTTCTTCAGTGACTAATTCCCAGTTCATAGATTTCCCTAATTGTCGCAAACATGTCTTTTTATGGTTGGTTTACAGTAATAGCTTGGAAAATACAGTTTTGATGGCATACATTTTTAGATCTGATACAGAAAACAGTTAATCATATTGATTGGAGAAGGCATATAAAGCAACTACTAAGTCAGAAAGGAATTCCAAAAATAGATGATTTTAAAAGTTCGTTTTGAAGGATTTCTGTACCAGTTATGCACAACAGTGAAGCCTTCAACATATATAGACCTCCCTTACCTAGTTTTCTATGTACTTTTATTCTCACAATTAATATCACAGCTATGCATATTCATTTTTTAAAATTGTGGAAATGAAAGAATAAAGGGAAAAAATGTTTGGAATAGGTTTCCTGAGAATGAAGGAACTATACTGAATGGTTTGATAATTCAGCTTGTTATTAGGCTCCTGCTATGTAATCTGACCTATTTCCACAGACTAACAATTGAGTTCTCTAATTACTTCGGGCAGTACAGAACATGGAGTGTGAGGGGGAAGAAGAAAAATGGCAGAATTAGAAGGGAGGAAGAATTGGGAAAGAGCAGAAATTCATTCATTTGCATTCTGTTTTAATTGGCTGTTCTTTCTGCTAACTAATGAAAACCTCCTCTTTGTGCAGTGTACAAGTCCCCGGAGTATGAGTCCCTTGGTTTTGAGCTTACTGTGGAGAGATTAGTTTCTATTGGCTATCCCCAGGAGTTGCTCAGCTTTGCTTATGATTCTACATTCCCTACCAGGTAATTTTTCAAGATATTTTTGGATTAAGACTACTTTCCTTACCCCCCAAATTAGACATTCCAAATTTATCCTTAAACAACAACAACAAAAAACCCCAGAAAAACATTGAATAATTCTTTGTTGTTTTTTTGGTTGGTTGGTGTTGATTCTAAAATTACCATGAACTTTTCATATACACCATATCTTTGTGTTCCTGAATTAAACTCAGTTTATACACCATATCTGGGTGTTCCTGAAATAAGCTCAGTTTATTGCAACAAAGGAAGACCCACTTATAGGTAAAAAGGGGGATTACAAAAACTAATGGACAGTAATCACAGGTGTTCGTATTTGGGGCTGTTGGCAAACAGGTATGTGTTTTTCTAATATACTTAACATGATAGAAGCTTGGCAGTTTGCATTTCTGGATTTGATAGGGAATATTTAGGATTAAGAAAATGATGTTTATTTGAGATGCTGTTGTATGTGTCCCACATACAACATCTAATGGAGGAAACTGTAAGCCTTCTCAGTTGTCCAAGAAAAAAGCCTATGTTTTAGAGTAGTACCAGCTGTAGGAAGAGGAATTTTGTTTATACCTTGTTTGATTAAGCTCTTGTTTCTTACAGAAAACAATTAAGATATCTGTCTGGACAGAGTCAATATTTTTTAGTTGCTTTAGAATTAGTTTTTAAGACTTTACTCACTTTAGCCCCTGAAATTATATCGTTTTAGGACATATTTGAGTTGCTACAAAGTTTGAATTAGATGAAGTTTGATTCATGATGATTAAATAGTACTACATAAAATTATTGCCTATATTACTTTGCATTATCAACAGTGTTCTTCATTTTCACATAGGGGACTTGTCTTTGACACACTATATGGAAATCTTTTGAAAGTTGATGCCTATGGAAACCTCTTGGTCTGTGCACATGGATTTAACTTTATAAGGGGGTGAGTACAGAGAACCTTTAACGTCTTTCTAATGTTGTAGTCAAACAGTATGAAGATGACATCGTTTCCCCAGATATAATATATTTCCCTATTCCGTTTCATCATAAAGAGAAAATTCCCTTACATAAGATTAGTTAACATTAATTAGGCAGTCAGAACCCAAACTGGCATATAGTTAGCAATTACATTTTGTTTAAATTAAGTGTCTTCCAATTATACAGCATACAATAAAACTAATCTTGGCCGGGCATGGAGGCTCATGCCTATAATCCCAGCACTTTGGGAGGCTGAGGCGGGTGGATCACAAGGTCAGGAGCTCGAGGCCAGCCTGGCCAATATGGTGAAACCCTGTCTCTACTAAAAATACAAAAATTAGCCAGGCATGGTGGTTCACGCCTGTAGTCCCAGTTACTTGGGAGGATAAGGCAGGAGAATCGCTTGAAACCTGGGAGGCAGAGGCTGTGGTGAGCAGAGATGATGCCACTGCACTCCAGACTGGGCAACAGAGCGAGACTCTGTCTCAAAAAAATACAAAAACCAAAAACAAACAAAAAAAAACCCTAATCTTGAAATTTACCCAGAAGAACTTTAGTAGTTTTGACTTCTTTGAAATTCTAAGATTTTTATTTTCTTCTTTCTAATACAGTTCTCAGGTAGCTGTTCAGAAGAGGTATGTATATAAAAATGCTTTGAAAAATTTTAAATTACAGCAATTTAAATGATTAAGAGATTTTTTAATAGCTAATATATTTTTTTTTAGCTTCTAATGAACATCTCTAGACATTTGATTGTGTCATTAAAAACATTTTAAACATAAGGTTAAAATGAATATGTGGTAATAATATTTAAAACAAGGAGGCTGGGCGTGGTGGCTGACGCCTGTAATCCCAGCACTTTGGGAGGCCGAGGTGGGTGGATCACCTGAGGTCAGGAGTTTGAGACCAGCCTGGCCAACATGGAGAAACCTCGTCTCTAAAAAAATACAAAATTAGCTGGATGTGGTGGTGTATACCTATAATCCCAGCTACTCAGGAGGCTGAGGCAGGAGAATCGCTTGAACCTGGGAAGCGGAGGTTGTGGTAAGCTGAGATTGCACCATTGCACTCCAGTCTGGGCAACAAGAGCGAAACTCTGTCTCAAAAATAATAAAAATAATAAAATAAGGATAAGCTTTATTTTCAAAATAAAAATGTTTCCACTATTGTCACTAATTTGAACTTTTCACCCTAGTAAACAGCAGATGAAATTTAGTATCTACTTTTTTGTGTATGTGAAATGTCCCAATATTTTCTTTAAAAAATCATAATGCCACCATTTGACTTCTGTAACTGTAGCTTTACAGTTAAACATTTTCTCTACTGTTATGCTATCTTATTTACTGTTGACATTGTATTAGGGTCAGAACAGCAGCTCCTAAACAGAATAGGATGTGTGTCAGTCTCTCATGTAACTTTTCCATTTACTATTCATTCTTGATGGCAGAATAGGAAAAACAGGAGGCTACATTGAAATGTTTAAAAATATAGTGTCTTTTTTTGTGATAAGAGGCACATAAACCGGCTGAAATTGTACCAGAGCTTCCTTTGGATTTGAGGCCACAAGATGCCCCTTAGAAATGAAGCATTTGATATAAGACTCTTCAGTTGGCATTACTGACAATACACAGGCGCAGAGATCTCCATGTATACATAGTAAGAACAGTGTGAAGTAAACACCCATCTTGACACATCTGGGCAGGCCATTGTTACATCTACCTTTCCTTCACTGTTTCTTTCATGAGGGGTTTGTTCAGGATCCGTGAATATCGGGAAATAGGATTTAGAATATGAAGTGATTATAGGTTGTACTAGTAACTTAAACTATTTTATATACTGATATTGTCATCATAATTCAGAATCTCAAGATGAACCAGGGTTCTATTATGTCTAAAAAGGAATTTTTGCATTTTGAGGGAGGGATAGGCAGAGAGGAAAAGAGAAGTAGTTTGACAAATTAGTACTTTGATCACATTTACTAACTCAAGATCCACAGACTTCCTCTCTTACCCTAAATAAGCCAGTAAAGTTTCTACATAGCTCCTTTCCCTAATGCATTTAATAGTGTTTCAAAAATAAGTCATTTATGAGTAAATGCAGAATTATCCAAACAGCACTTAGCACTGTTCCGTCTTTAGAGTTAAAAAGAAAAGCTGGTCTAGCACAGTGTCTCATGCCTGTAATCTCAGCACTTTGGGAGGGCAAGGCAAGAAGACTGCTTGAGCCTGAGTTCAAGACCAGCAGTAAAGTGAAACCCCATCTCTACAAATACTAAAAATTAGCTGAGCATGGTGGTGCATGCCTATGGTCCCAGGTACATGGGAGATTGAGGCAGGAGGATTGCTTGAGCTCAGGAGGTTGAGGCTGCAGTGAGCTGAGTTCACACCACTGTACTACAGCCTGGGCAACAGAGCAAGACCCTGTCTCAAAAAAATAAAAATAAAGTAATAAAATTAAAATGCCCATGAAAAGAGACTGAAGATAGAGGGAAAGGAAGAAATAGTTATCAAAGCTGTTTACAGTGGCAGACAAGGCTGGAAAAGAAGAGCTCCAAGAGGCTTTGCTCATGAGTTAGGACCTTATTATTTAACAAATCTTTATTCTGTGAGTCACAGAAAGTTAGTAATCTGTGTGATAACTGTTTTCTTCCCAGTCCAAATGTAGCTTTCTTCTTTTATGATACATTACCTCCCCCACGTTGATTTTTATTTTAAATATATACTGGTGTGATTTGACACTGAGTTTACAGTGTAATTGCTAACTATATTTATAAATCAATTTGGGTTCTAACTGCCTAATAAATAACTGTTAGCCATCTTTATGTAAAGGAATTTTTCTTTACCGATGGAGGGAATAGACAAGTATATTATATCTAAGGAGATAGCGTCAGCTTATTAAACCTGACTGAAGATTTTTTATTGTTACCTTCCACCTTACTTTTCATTAAAGAAAATCTTGGAAAGCTAGATGATGAGGTACTCTACAAAGTTATTCATTATTGGGAACTCTCATTTCAGAAGAGTGACTTAAGACAGGGAACTAATGTGATTTTATGTGTCTCACTGGAGTTTATGCCATTTGTAGTTAAAAAACCCAAGCAGGAATTTATCCAGGTTACTCTGAGTGTGAACTTTAAATTCGATTTCCTTTATTTAGATTGTTAATCTCCGTGTATTCACTGTCATAATTGTGTATTTTTATATTTCAGTATTTTTCCCTTTTAGTTTCTCTGAAATGTTTTCTTTTAGAAGTGTTTCTGGATCTTTAACAAATTCTGTTTCACTGGCTTTTTTTCTTTTAAATCCTGAATTTTCTTCATGGTTCTGTTCTGTCTCTTTTCTTTCTTCCTTGCACATTAAGTGACTTCATCTCCTCATACTTTTCATGATTCCATTGAGTATCTGTACATAGATGATCTCAGTTATCTCTCAAGTCTGAATCTCTGTTTTAAGTTCTTGACCTATGTTTCTAGTTGCCTGATAAAAATCTGTTTACTTCAAGCTTAATATAGCCAAAATAGAACTACTGACATCACTTCTTACCTAGTTTTCATATTTCTGTTCATAGTACCAACCACCTCTCAGAGAAACCATAGCATGAACATCATCTATGACTCTTAATGTCCTCCCTGCCAAATCTGCTCAGTTTGCTGGGTTTTATTTTGCCTTGGTAATCTCTCTAAAATATATTCTTCCTTTTAATTTCCTGGGTCACCACTCTAGAACAGGCCCTGCTGTTCTCATTTGGACTACCGCAATAACACCTAACTGATCCCAGTACTTTGTCTCTATATCAAATTAGCTTTTGCTAAAAAATAGGCCGGGCACTGGCTCCTGTAATCCCAGCACTTTGGGAGGCTGAGGTAGGCAGATCACTTGAGCCCGGGAGTTTGAGACCAGATTTAGCAACATGGCGAAACCCCATTTCTACAAAAAATTTTTAAAAATTAGCCAGGCACTGTGGTGTGCGCCTGTAGTCACAGCTACTCAGGAAGCTGAGGTGGAAGGATTGCTTTGAGCCCAGGCTGTCAAGGCTGCAGTAAGCCAAGTGGTGACAAAGCGAGATGCTGTCTCAAAGTATATATATAAGTAAATTAAAAATAAAGGCTGGGTGCGGTGGCTCCTGCCTGTAATCCCAGCACTTTGCGAGGCTGAGGTGGGTGGATCAATCACTATGTTAGGAGTTGGAGACCAGCCTTGACCAACATGGTGAAACCCGTCTCTACTAAAAATACAAAAAATTATCCGGGTGTAGTGGCGCACACCTGTAATCCCAGCTACTCAGGAGGCTGAGGCAGGAGAATTGCTTGAACCTGGGAAGCAGAGGTTGCAGTGAGCCGAGATCGTGCCACTGCACTCCAGCCTGGGTGACAGAGCAAGACTGTGTCAAATAAATACATAAATAATTTAGTGCCTTAACATCTGATGTATCCTATACATACATACATACAT